AATGGAGCAAACCCCTCGAGAATTGAACCCCTATGAGCAATGGTCGGCGCTCAGCGAACGAAAGGGAACCCAGGCCCCAAAAGACAAGGAGACTCCCAATACCAAGTCAGTGTTGAATCTGCACCGTTGGATAGATAGTGCTTTGGGCGCATTGAGTCCCCTCGCCAGCTGGAGAATGTGTTCTCTCGATAGATTTCAGCTGTCAAAATCTCTGAGATGTTCAAGACACCATCCCTTGAATCTTATAAAGGTCAGACCTATCTGGGTGACAACCTCTCGTCATTTAAGTCAGAGATTTACCTGTTGAGGATCATCGATACTCTCAAGTGTAGCCGCTTCTCCATCGCGCTAAGAGAGTCGGCCCTCAAGTGGTTTAACTAACTACCACCTGAGTAATCACCTCCTTCGCTAATTTTAGGAAGATGTTCATGGCATAATTTGTCAATACCCAGTAACTACAAAAGAGATTGCAAACCCTACTGCATGTAAGGCAGGGCTTCAATGAGAGTCTGCGCTCATTTATCACTAGATTCCAGAAGGAGATGCTAGAAGTTTGAGGCGTTGAACCAGCTATTGCACATGCTGCCCTAGCCCAAGGGCTAAAGAAAAGACCATTTTGCTACACATGAGGCCTTCAGGAACGTAAAACTCTCACTGAATTGTTGGAGTTGACCAACAATCATATCTTGGCCGAGGAGTATAAATCCATCCCCACGGCTGTCAGGGTAGTAGCCGCCAGTCACTAAAGAGGAAGGCCCGGAAGGATGACGGGCGGAGAACAAGGGAGAATAGGAATTCCTCGGTTGGACCACGCTACGAAAACAGTCGGCCGCCCTGAGGCAATAGGGGTCGACAGTCATAACAATAGAGGTCAAGGGTGTTACACTGACCAACGTCCAGCTCATCATTATGAGCAACTGTCTGACAACCATGAAGCACCAAAAGCCACTCTGTTAAGGGTCTCTTTGGTCGACTTGGTGGAGGTCATCCAAAATAAATAGTATTTCACGCAGACGCCATCGATGTGAATTGGTGGTTTCCTCCGAGAAACCAAGAAGTACTGCGCAAAACATAAAGGAGTGTCGACACCTCCAGAGCTTGGTCAAGTAGGTGATAAGAGCAGGGAAGTTGAAAGTGTTAATGGAAACAAGAGATGCCACTTAGTGGCAGAGAAATGCTCTCTTGAAGGTGATATCGAATGAGATAGTTTGAGTTAACGCCATCCATATTGTCGAATTTGTACCAACGATCTTGGGAGGTGAAGATTCATCCCGACGGACCAATCAGAAGAGTCTCCGGTCGGGCGAACTATGCGGAGCCACCTTTGTTCCTAAGCGCAACACCCTTCCACCAGTCACCTTTACTGAAGCTAATCTAACCCTACAGGGAATTCCCAAAACGATCTCATCATCATCACAGCCATGATCAACAACTATCAGATTGATAGTATCTTAGGCGACACTCGTAGCTCAGTGAACATCATGTTCAAACCAGTGTTTGACAAGATGAACCTCCAAGCCAACCTGTTGGCAGCAATGGACGGCTCACTCTTCGGATTTTTGGGAGAGATGAAGGAAACTCTTCGAGTGATAGCACTAACAGTCACTTAGGGAGACAGTGACAAACAGTTCACCCACATGGAAGACTTTTTGTAGGTAGACTCATCACCAACTTACAATGTGATCTTCAGTCGCACACTGATGAAGGACAATAAGACTGGTTTCTAAGTACCACGTGGCAGTGAAGTTTCCGGACCGCGACAAATTCATCATCATTTGGGAAAACTTGGAGCAGTCTCAGTCTCAGACCTGCTATAAAAGTCTCATTGACCTTGCACATGTCATCTCATGCATTTTTTAATTCAAAAACTAGTTTTACCAAAGTTTCTTCTATTCTTCATGAAATTAGAACACAATTGAAGAAAAGTAATGCTAAGTATGCTACAAAAGTCATCATCATCAACAACAATCATTTATCCAACAGAGTGGGGTCGGTTACATGAATCTTTTTTCTCCATTGCATCCTATTGAGTGATATATTTTCATTTAAATCTAATCAATTAAGATCATTTTTTATACAACATTCCCAAGTCCATTTAGGATTACCTCCACATTTCTTAACAAAAGTCAAATCTAAAACATCTACTCACTTAACAGGATCATCAGATGGTCGACTTTTAATGAAACCAAACCATATAAGGCAACTCTTTCTAATCTTGTCTATCACTAGAGCTACTCCAACTCTTCCATGGATGTATTTATTTCACATTTTGTCTTCTAAGTGTAAAGTCACTCATCAACCTGAGCATTTTCATCTCAACAACTTAATTTTATTCCTCTCTTTTACAGGCCAACATTTTGCGACATAAAGCACTACAGGTCTCACCACCATCTTATTAAATTTTCCTTTAAGTCAAAGCGATACTTTTCTATCGCACAATAGGCTCGATGCCTTTTTCCACTTTATCCATCCACATTGAATTATACTAATAATATCCCCATATACATCACCATAACTTTGAACAGTAGATCCACATTCACTTATTTTAATGACTTAATCACCCATTATTAAAACCCCGCCACTAGATCTACTATTACTAAAATTATATTCCATGTATTCACTTTTAGATATACTCAAAAGAAAGCCTTTAGACTCCAAAATTGACCTTCATAATTAAAGTTTTCCCATAACTGTCTCTCTAGTCTTATCGACAAGAAGGATATCATCAGCGAAAAGCATAGACCAAGGCACATCCTCCTGTAAACATCCTCCTGTAGCACATCCTCCTGTAAATGTCCAATAAAAACATCCATAACTAAAGCAAAAAGCAATGGGTTTAAAGTTGATCCCTGATGTAAACAAACTAAATTAAAAAAATACTTGGTCAATCATCCATATGTTTGATCACAAGTATGCTGCACAAGTCAATCCTAAATAATTCATTGATGAAATAGTCAATTTATTATGCACTGATGCGCATTCATCCTAATAGGTATTCATCCACTAAGTTTAAAAAACTTCACACAAGGGCATGTGAACAATTCAATTTTTTTTAGAAATTTAGCCCAAATATATTTTTTCTATAGTTAACAACAAGCATGATTATTAAATAAGTTTTTAATATTGACTATTCATTGCATCATAAGGAGCCTTCATAATTTGGAGTTTTGGAGCTAACCTTTTTTCTAGGTGGCCATGCTACCCAAGTTCAAGCGGATGATGCTATTTCAGAATTTCTTTTTTATGTCAATGATCCACATATATTTATCATCAAATGTAAGAATATTCGAGCACTAGAGGCACATAGCTTATTACCATAGAAATTAAAAACTAACCCCATATCTATAAGAGCGTTATTTGATTTCAACACTTCAAAGAAGAGTTCTTCGGAGATTTACGGGAGTTAATGTAGCCCCATCAATTCCAATATTACAGAGACCTATTACAAGTTCTTAGGCTAGATTCAATTAAGAAAAATGATGTTATTTTTTTGTGTTCAGATTTTTCATACATTTTATTTCCTTTTGCATTTTTCGGTCATTTTGTATTTTTCCCTTTTATGCATAAATTTAAACAAGGTGGCCATGCAAATTCATCACCTTCTTACTTGCATTAAATGCTTGCTATGGATGGTTCATCCAAGCATGACTAATCATCACACTAAGGAGGGCCAAGTCACAAACGATGTTGAATCAAGCGAGAACATTCCTACCGACAAGATGTATGCATGTAAATAGCTTGTGACTCTTCAAATGATAAAGTTCTTGTACATGCAAGGATCAATCAATCATGAGATACATGCACACAAGAATATGAATTCACTTGAGAGTTTAATTCATGTACTCATGTATATGGTCAACAACCATATCCATAAAATAGCCCTTGATATTCTTTTTGGTTCATGTATGTATTGAAACAGCTATGTATAGGGATGGATTATATATTGTAATCATTATTATTATATTCATCATATTTTAAAAATAAATTTGAGAGGCTGAACACTCCCTTACCAAATCATAAGGCTAAAGTTATGTCATTCATTTGGTGAGGAAGAGATAGTTTTCTTGTAAATTATTTGAGCTTTCTCACCTTTCCAAACACCACTTTATTTCAATCCACTGCTTTAACATTAGATACAATTAGAAAAAAATAAACCAAATGAATATATACTTTATTAATGATGCATTACGTAAGCATGAACTCATACACGCCAGCATGCATATGCGCCCGAGCACACATATACACATGTGCTCAGACATACACATACACACATGCATAAATGTATGCATGTATCATATGGGATTGATCTTTCTATTTCTATCAAAAGAATGGAAATGATCCTTCAAGTAGAATGTGATATAACCTTCAAGTAAGATAATAAAAATTCATTCATTGCCATTAAATATAAATGTTCAAGAATGTTTAAGTTCTAACCACTATTAGATGAAAGAAAATATTATGTGGATGTTTAAGAATATATGAGAAGATAACTAGAATTTCACCATGTGTGCCTTTCACATGGCCTAGAAATAATATTGATGAATCGTGTATTTGAACATCTTTATAGGTCAAATACATTGGTAAACTTTTGAAGTGGGCTTTTATATGTAGTCCAATCATCATTCTTTTGTTAAGTGCTTGATGAATGGCTAAAGTATTGTTACAATAAATAAAGAAACTTGATATATAGTTAATTTTCATAACCTTGATGAAAATGCATTTACAAGATAAGGTTATTAGAGGTGGATTAAGAATTATCTATTAATTAGCCATTGAGACAATAAATTGTTCTAAGTAGTAATCCATTAATTAATTCGTATAGTTAACTAAGCATTGACTAATAATTACAGAATAAACTACCATGATAAATAATGCATAAACATTTAAATAATAATTAAAGCAAAAATGATAATTAGTTACACTAAATCAAGCAGCAACAGAACTATGCCAGAAAAGAAAAATTGTAAACCAAATTGTGCAACGTGAAATGATGAACTAACCTCTTCATATGGAATTGCAGCAGATGATAAATCTTTCAAAGAAATACCAAATTCCAGCCTAGATGATAAAAAGAGTCCAAATGCAACAACCGTAGAAGTCAAAGCAATCCGTCTGTTGATGCTTTTATTTGGAAGTGCTGGAAATAATTCACTTTGAGAAATGCTAACAGTATCATCTACTATGGAAATGGCCTCCGCAACGGGCTTAACCTACATATCGTAGAGTCAATAAACCAGAAATCATATGGAAAATTAGCGCAAGCCATGATCCTCCAATAATTCTGCACCAGTACATAAAAATAAAATGGTTATATACTTTAGAGAGACGTGGTAGAAGAATTGCAGAAGCCTTGAAGAAACTGAGAAAGAGAGATGAACAAAAAAGAAGTATCAAACACAAACCATAAGAGGAGGGAAAAACATGAAAATTAAACTTTAAAAATCCAATAAAAAAGTAATGTTTGATAACATTAAATCTCATATGCAAGAAAACCTTTAATAAGAAATATTAGAATGATTACTTGAGCTATAATCACAAGAAAATTACATATATATATATATATATAAGAAAAATAGGCAACATCTACAATTAAACTTGAAAATATAGCAAATTTGTTAGTTAAAAAGTATTTGATCTTAGTTGTAAATTTGATAGAAAGCAGTGAAATAGAATGGCTAAGAAGATTAACCAAGGGAATAAAAAATAGCCTTTAAGAAGATTAACCAAGGGAATAAAACATAGCCTTTAGAGGAGCAGTTTGGTTTATTATTACAAAATGGTCTCATGGCTATATTTAAGCACCATGAAGATCTCTAGATATAATACAACTCTAAATGAGAAATAATGACAAAAGCATCCAAGGGGCCACTATTCAAAATCAGGATTAACTCTAGGTATTCTCAGGAATTTTTGTATATTTTACACATGCATAATTCGTTTAAAATACATTTATAAAAGCAACGTTATACTTTGAATTCTAATTCTGCCATATCTATGCAATCCTTATTATTCATAAATGCTTAATTTATGAATGCTTGGGATTATTTTTTAAAATTAAAATGTTAGGATAATGGATTGGTAGAATCATACGACACTTCTTAAATAGTATTCTAGATAGAGAATTCTATAATAAGAATTAATTCATGTGGGGTATTGAACTATTGGAATAAACATCAATCTAGATTGCATTGCCCTTATTGATGTTACACATACTTCAACATTCAAATGAAGTAGAAAGTGGGACAAAAAATTTTAATTGAAAATTTAAAAAATGGAAAGATTTACGAGGCTTTGCTCACTTGAATAGCTTACACTAATATAAAAATGTTATAAGGTATCAGCCTTCCATGTTTTGGGGAAGGAATCAATGCAATGCAAAAGATGAGTCATCATAGTTGATATAAGAACTTTTGAAGTTTGAACATAAGAGGTTGGTCAGCATACTCAAGGTGACTACAATGTGCATCATCACGCAGTGGATGCAATGTAGGTATCTCAAGGTTGTTGCATAGGTTTTATGGGTAAAAACTACAATGCAAGCAAATTTTGTAGTGTAGGACTATATGCAGTGATAACTGGATGAATTTTGGTGCAAGCAAATGCTGTAGCACAGGCCTTTATGTGATGATCGCTACAACACAAATGAACATCACATCATGTCTTAGTATAGAGATAGTTATGGTGCAAGAAAAGGTTGTCACTGGTCTAAATGAAATGATGAATGCAATGAAAAAAAAAATTGTTATAAATCTTTACACATCTATAGTTGAAGACAAAGCAAAAATTATGGCACAAGGAAAACAATTTGAGCAAACATTCTAAACTTGGAAAATCTCCACCAAAATGAACTGAATAAGACATTATATATAACAAGTTGTCTTTTGATATTTATCTAAAATGTTCATTGTAGCTATCAACAATAGAAAGTGCAAATAGTGATCTCCAAAGATCAAACTATAATTGAATGATGTTGTTCTTCGATTTACCCAACCGACCCTCCTAAAAAGATATTGATGCCAACATTTGATGATCGTCCACTGACGACCTGATATATCACAAATTGATAATCCAAATATACCATGATGTGTAACCCATTATCATGATACATTATTCATGACATTAAAAAATTGACAGTCAAAACGGAGAAAATAATTATGAAAATAAATTATCATTCTAATTTGATTTTATTAGAAAACAACAAGATTATTTCCTCATTTTTTACATGGATGTGTTTCTCTTTATGAGAAGTATATCAACACAAACAATTTGCAAAATTATGGCCAATGGAGGTCACGATAGCTCCAAAAATCTAAAACTTTCTAACTAAATTATCCGGTAACAAGCATGTGTTGAGATGATTATTGGTTGGGAATACACTACTCTCGTTGAGAAAACTTGGAAAGCCAATTGCATAGCTCCTTAAGCCAGTTGTGGTAACGAAAGCAAAACATCATATCATATATAATCTTCACAGGTCACACGTGAACAATGAAGATTTGGCTCAGTACTTGCCAACTTAGCCAATTCCAGGCTATTCGGAAAATAACTGATTTATTTCTTCTTTCCTTTTCCTTTTTATTTAATTTTTTTTTTTTTTTTTGCCACTTGAGGAGAGATGTCGGCATCATTATTACCTTGTACAATACATTGCTAACCTATTTGATGACCCTCTTAGGAAAGTAAATATTTTAGATTTAACTTATTCTAAGAAAGGTAAAGGTAGACCTAAAAAGACTTAGGCATATTGATAAAAAAATAATCTCAACTTATGAGAATTAAATGAAAATATGGCACTCAAAAGGACACAATGGAGAAAAGGATTCATGTAGCCGACCCCACTTAGTAGGATAAAGGCATGTTGTTGTTAGTATATTGCTAACCTCCATATGTGACTCTAACTTGAGTCAATCAAATGCCATGACAATGATGAATGAAATATCAAGTTCACTATAAATCAACACAAGAACATGGAAAAAATACACATTTGTTGCCAATTTAATCAAATAGACCACTGATATGTTTAGCCAAGTAGGCCCACTCACGTTGCTTGACTTGTAGCATGAGTAAAATATTTGCACATGCACAAGGAAAAAAAGTTATGAGGGAAATATGTACACAACAACAAACAATAAGCTTTTAACCCGCTAAACGGGGTCGGCCAGGAAAATATGTTCACACACATATTTTATATATCTTTATCTATATATATATATATAATTAAAAAATATATGAAAAAAGACATAAATTAAACAAATATATAATAAAAGAGTAGAAAATTTAAAGATATGGTAATAATATATAAAGCTTAATGGAGGTAGCATGAGGCACCCTCCCTCCCTTAGAGTAATTAAGGAGAAAAAGATGGGGTCTCCTTTTAAAAAAAAAATGATAATAATAATAATTAAGAGACTTTATTAGTGACCCTCTTTTGACCCAAAATGTGCAACTCTTACCAAAACCATAATTATGGGAACAGATTACCCCACTAATTAAATAAATTATAGAAAAACTATCAATTTCTCCATGTATTACTTCTCTTACCTTAAACCCCCTCTCACAAATAGCTCTTGCACAAACTCCCAATCCATTTCCTCTCTCTGGCATTTGCTATCTCCCCATCCTTTGCTCATTATCTCATTCATTCATGAAAATTTTAATCACAGCAAACCAAAATGAAAGGATGACTCTAAGCATTAGGCATGTAATCAATTCACATCATTTTGACACATTGGGAATCATAATTTTGGGTAAATTTTAGGTGATGACACAAAAAAATGTATTCACATTTGGCAAGATGAAATTTGAGGTTGAATTATAATCCATATCTGCCAATAGAACACTAGAAGGAGATCTAATAGACATGTAGATCAAGTGCTAAGGATGAGGCTATTAATCTTGATTCTTATTAGCAGGAAATACATATTTCATTAATAAGAAAACTCATAAACATACAAGGATGAAGGTAATACTTACTTGAATCTCCTCTATGAAGATTTTTATCTCAACATAATCTCTCTCTCTCTCTTGTTACTATCTTCTGTCATGGTTTCTCAAGAAGCTAAGAATGGTCTCTCAAGCTTTTAACTTAAGTTGTTCAAACTATGAATTTAACCCTTTTTCCCTCTAAGAACGACAAATAATAATTCTTTAAATTACTTATAAAAGAGTGATAGAAAACACAATTTATTCAAGAGTCTGCAATAAAGGAGAAGAAAATAGGCGAAAAATTTTATCAATGAGAAAGCGACAACCGAAAGAACTATATTATAACTATGTGATTTTCCACTCTTGAGTGGCATTACTCTTAGAGACCAAATGCAAAACAAATAGATCCCTGAGAAGGTTAGTTTAACTCAAGTGGCTAACAGGATTAGAGAGAGTCGTCTTAGATGGTTTGGTCAAATTAAACGTAGACCATCTAATGATTCGATTAGGAGAGTAGATGTTTTAATTTGATTTATGTTAAGAGAGGTGGAATAAGACCTAAAAAGAGCTGGGCAAGTTGTATAATAAAATGATCATAGTTGATTAGTATTAAATGAAAATATGACACTCAATAAGACACAATGGAGAAAAAGGATTCATGTGGGATAAAGGCTTATTGTTGTTGTGTTGTGGCGGTCTTTTGACAAACCTTTTGTATCGAGTCCAAGATGTATCACAAAAGTTTATTACATACTCCTTAGGAGAGAATCAACAACAAAGTTCATACTATTTAATATTGAACTTTGATATCTATAACCTTCTATTACATTACATATGTTTCAAGGTATAACATACAACAATGTTTGAAAAGAAATATTTAATTCATGAACAAAGTTCTGAGGTAAGCAAGGTTACTTGTCGTTATAAGAATTTTATAGGCCTTTGCATAACATTTTCTAGTAAACTTGTCTCTATGGAGATACATAAGCAATTTACAAGCAAAAAAGACAAAGATAAGCAGCATTTGTTAGTCAACTTGTCTCCTTTAATTGAGAGTTAGTCTAAATGTGATTAATGTCAGGACTGCACAATAAAACATATGGAAAAGGCATCAAGTTATACAAAGCTCTTCTAAGCAAAAAATTCATAATATTTCTTGACTTATGGCTTGACTAACCTAATAAGTGCTTTCATGGTGCATTGCATAAACTTAGAGAAAAAACTTGATAAAAATGTGACTCGTCTATTTGATTTTATCCTTAGATCAGCTTGGAGAACACAAGTGAAATGAATATCACTACTTGCACTATATTTGGAGAAGAGTCTAGGGGAAGAAGAGGAGAGATATAAAATTCCCAAGTTCTTCCCCTCCTCAACCTTGAGGAATTTCCTTCCACTCTCTAAAATGAGGCATTTGCGAATCCCTAAGTTCTCTTCATTTTTTTAGTAATATTGCGGGCATGGAGTTCATATAGGGGATTAAATAAAGGAAATGGGCTTGTGGTGGTCCATCAAAGAGGTAGTTGGAAGAGTGCAGCGATATGACTTAAAGTATATATGCTTTTGGACCACACACCTATGCACACATTTATAATGTGTGTGTGTGTATACTTGTGTATGTGCGCACAAATGTACATATAGAAAATAAGCATAAGCTAATTTGTTCAGATTGGCCAGAACCAACATGGCTTACCAAACTAAATTGGCCTATAAAGAAAGGTACCTGAGACAAATTAAGCTATTAGATCGGCTACCAACTTTAATTTCAGAAGTTTCCACATCTTTGAATTCAAGGTTCTCTATGAATACATTTAACTAATTTTCTCTAATCAATTTTAATGAAAAAATGGATTGTTGAATGAAAGATTAATTATAACATCAATGCATTTGCCTCAAATTGACCAAAAGAGTACTTGGAATTGTGAACATCGGTCAACCTCACTTGACTAATATCATATATGTGATGAACCAAATTGCTCAAGCATTTCAACTCTTGTTCCATTTCTAGTAGGTTATTGACCAGTCAGATCACATCTCTCTCTCCTTTGAATGATTGATCATTGCCTAATTAACCTACTATGTGAAATCAAAACTAATACAAAACTTAATAGTTACATTATAAAATTATTATTGTGACTCTTTAACTCAACATCAATCAATTAACTTGTCACATCCCCAACCAAATTTTCCGCCACCCTACAAGTGGGTTTTAATGAGACACTCAGCAGTTGACATTCTCACCTAGCTCATCATGTGACCATTTATATTGAAGCTGTTAAAACCATCCTGAATTCTTTAGAGTCTATATGTGTTCTTCTCCCTTCTTACATCAAAGGAAAAGTGGAGAAAAAAAGAGCAAGGGGAATTACTTCTTTATCAGTTGAATAAAGAGATAAAAAAATTATTCTTCATTTATGAGTTGAAAGATTGCTTCTTCACACTAAGGATGTTGGCTACAAAGTCAAATCATTTATATTTTATTCTTTGCATTTTTAATCAAGAGGCCTTTATTTCCTTTTTTTAGTGGAACTTCTTCATCTAAAGCACTTCTTTAGTGTAATTATCCATGCAAGCATCGTCTACCTAAGACTCTGGCAGCATTCCTATTTTAGAAATGCTTGATCTCATTAAAGCAATAAGAATTTGTCTAGATCACATTAACAATAAGATTTCAATCTAAGATTAAAGGACAAATGTAGATTACAAATTTTAAAAGAAAGGAAAATCTATTCCATCAAAATTTAAGTTACAACCCTGAGGTGGGGGACCTTGAAAAGGTCCCCCCTGAGTAGGAAGAGAAAAGGAGAAGGTGGAGATGAAGAGATAGAGGGATCTAAGAAGCTTTGTCCAAGCCTAGCAAGCCAATTAGCAGGTTTGTTTCCTTCCCTACAGATGAAGGAGAAGTGCACATTTAAGAGAGGCCTCATGGAATTGATCTTTCTAACCTATTAAGAGATATGCCGAGGAGAGTGAGCCACATCCTGCAGTAGTTTCCCCAAAACAGCTGAGTCCACCTCCACAAGTAGATATCTCCATTGATTCATGATAGCAAACTTGAGGGCCCAAAAAACAACAGTGAGTTCAGATTTAAGAACATTCAATGCATAGACAGGTGCGGAGAAAAACATTAAACAGTTCCCATGATGATTCCTGAAAACCCCTCCAATACCAGCTCCCAACTCAGAAAAACATCCATCTGTATTCACCTTAATGAAAGGAAGGTGAGGGGACTTCCAGAAGACTTTGATAACAACAGCTAAGGGGGGACTATCCAGACTTGGAATGGAGCAAATGTTGGGAAATCCCTTGTGCTTGATAAGCTTAATGAGGAAGGATATGCAATGTCTGGCCACCTTGATCACAGTTATAGGCTGATCATCAAACTTGAATTGATTTTTGGCCATCCACAGAAACCAAGCAATAACCAGAGGGAATGGCCCAAGCCCAGCATCAAGCCAACTGACCCAGCAGGAGGAGAGGTGCCACCAGTCCAAATTTAGAGTATCCAGCATCACATATTTTAAGCATTCCCTCCAAACATCTTGAGAGAATTGGCATTCAAAGAATAGATGATCAATGGATTCTTCAGCTGCCAAACATAACCCACACCTAGAAGGCCCCCTTAAACCTTTCAGCTTGAGGATATCATCTGTAGGAAGCACTTTGTGGAATATTCTCCGGCTAAGAAAAGACAATGAGGGGGAGAGGAATTTGTTCCACAGAAGAGCCCCCCAAGAAACAGTGTCCCAGTTGTAAAGCTTGGAGTAAATGGACTTAGTTAAGCTTTGAGTACTACTTGCCTGCCAAATAATGTTGTCAGAAAGGGATTTGTCAAAATAAAAAGAAACCATATATAATTATCATTGGCTTCTTAATTCTCATATACTAAATAGAGATTTTGTTATTCAGCATTTTAACCAAGGGCACCTAATCCTAGAACTTGAACGGTTCTCTAGGCCAAGTCAAACAAATAACTCTACTATACAAGATGCTTAACTCAAAGAAGTCACCATTTGGCCATTCAAATCATTCACTTATTATTCTTGATGCATACAAAGAACTCGCCATGTTTATATTTGGCAACTCCAACAATCATCCCCCATTTTTTACATACCCAAGGAAACTCTTCATACTAAAACTTGGCAGTTGGGCATTCCATGAAACTTTCTCATTACTAGTAATATATTTAATGAACTCGCCAAGAAAAAGAATTCAATATACCTAGGAATTTCAATGTTGGAATTTGGATAACTCACTGATTATAAGTAAACTTAGGGAATGCGCTAATTTGATTCTAGTTGTATAAAATCTTCCACAAGATTGTTGTTTCAATTTGAAATAACATAACTCACATCGGATTAAATCAATTAATTTCCTAGAAAACCTTGTTTTCTGTCCAAAGCTCAGGAAACTCAACAGATGGGAGTTCAAAAATCGGGCATCTATCTTGAAAGTATTTTTCTAGTCAGTTAATATGACGCAAGGGATTTTCACGTAACATATCTTTTAAGTATTCATGAAGTTGGCATTAGTATAAAATTATATATGCTTTTATCATTCATTAAATGTTTTAAGCACTTCATCAAATTCCTAAAAATACATTTAAGGATAATATCAGTCTTTGAATCTGAACCTAACCAAGATTGACATTAGGTAATTGATGGCGAGTTTAGATGGTTATCCCCACAAAGGCAAAATTCTGATACAAAATAAAGCTCATCCAAAGTGAAAACTAAAAAATCTAAAATAAATCAAAGGAAAAGACAGTAAAATTCTTTGCCCTCTGAAAAAATAACTTATGAGACTCTTTCATCTCAGCAAAATAACTCAGACGAGTCAACATTACGAGGCTATCATAATTCGACATCATAAAATTCAGAAGGTATATATTTCATTTCATTTCCAAAGGATCAAAAATTACGAGGACAAGATACGTCCACAAATCAAAATGTAAAATATAAAAACCAATTCAATAATCATGCTTGGATGAGTGTCAACTATCTATATCATGAAGGAGTGGGTGCTTATTTTATTCAACATTAGGCTCCTTCTTGACGTTCAAATATATGTCAGCAATCTCACACAACAAGCTTGGATCATACCTTGCAAAATTAATTAAAATCTAATCCATATAAAATATTCAAACAAATGGTAATGCTTTCTTAGAATTTAATAGCCACATTCTCTTGGTACTTAGCAAAACTAATGAATTTTGCATATTCTGGAAACTGGGAAATGTTTTGCTACTCTAATTTCAATTCCTTTGGTTATTCCTCTAACTCAGCATTTCAAAGTTGTGTTGAATAAAAACTAGGTTCGTTTCGCTCTAGTAGATTCTGATTTGGTGAGAGAATACTCCAAAAAATAACTCTCTTATGCACCTTAGTAGGCCTCTACTCATAGGAAGATTAGTATATGTCATCTCCTTAATAGTATGTTTTAATATTCACTTATGTTTATGTCATATTGACACTAGTCGTTGTATGACTAACATATGCAACTTGTCGGGTGGCATTTATATGGACTCCCATAGAATTATTTAGAGATAAGGCAGGACCATGATAAAACACCATCAAAGTCAATTTGTTTTTCGACAACAATGGATCAATGCTTGCATCTACAATAAATCAGTCTTTGATGTCCAAGTAAGTGACTGACTTGCCATTCTCATCCACATAGCTTGGCTTAAACATTCTAAGCAAATGATAAAAAACCCATGTATTCTTTCCCCAATTTTCTTTCCCTAATTTTCCTCTACTCAATCTAGGTAGTAGAGCATTAGCTAGTTTCTTGCTTAAAGAAATTATTGAGCTTGTCACAACTAAAGTTGAAGGCGCATCTAGAGCCACTCAACACATGCTCGGTTGAGCCACCAATAAGTTTTCCTTGTCATAATTTTTGAATAGTCATCGGTTCTTCGCATTAATGACTCGACTAAAATCGGAAGTACAACCTGCAAATACTGGCTCATGCTGCCACTAACTAATAATGTCACCTGTGGCCTATAATCTTAACAATTATGGTATAATTTTACAAATTTATGCATACGATCCATGCCCTTTCTACGAACAGCTTATGATTCATTTGGTTGCTAAATAGATGGAAAACACATCTCAGAAACATGAAGAATTATTCCATCAGTACTACGCATGTTAAGCTACGTGCGTATCCAATATATTGCCGCCAGTTGTAAACTCCGGCCCCACCTATTCCATCAGTATTCGCGACCTGACCCGACCCTGAACCCGAAACTGAAAAATTTCCCGCCAGCATAAAATTATTTCACGCCTACAAGTTGTTCTATTCGCAGGGTGAAGAAATATTTCACCGGTTTGTTCACAGCTCCGTTTGCAGCTCCGCCATAGCTAGGTATTGTTGGAATTCTCCATGGACGTTGAGATGCCGGAAGTCGAATTCTTCGTGAACGTTGAGATGTCGAAAGTCTCCATGAACGTTGAGATGCCATCATTCAGCCTGAACTTTGAAGATCAAGATCAAGTGAGTCTTCGTGTTACTGTTGTGTTATTCTGGTGTTACTCTGGTATTACTCTTATTTCTTGCCTTTGATTTAGTACAGTTTAGGTGGTATAGGGTTTAGTTTAATCTCCATGTAAACGTTGGTGTTGATGTAGTATTATTGGGTGTTGTTCTATAGTGTGGTTTGGTATTATTATGGTTTTTTTTTTTACGTTATTATGGTTTTAGGCTTCTGGTTTTTTGGTGTTACTCTTGTGTTATTCTGGTGTTACTGTGGTATTACTTCATTGTTATGTTGTTTATTTCCTTTGATGTTTGGGTGTTGTTCATTGTGGCATTGTTTTTGGTATTATCATGGTTTTTTTTTCGTTATTATGGTTTTAGGCTTCTGGTTTTTTGATGTTGCTCTTGTGTTATTCTGGTGTTATTCTGGTATTACTCCTGCCTTTGATTTATTACGCATATTATGTTATTATTGTGTTATGCTGATGTTACCATTGTTTTATGCAGTTCTCTGAGGCAACACATGTTTGCAATGATCCAATTGCAGAGAAGTTTCTAAGCAGCATTATCCATAATGAGAAAGAAACATATGAAAGCTATCGTGCCTATGCACATCACGTGGGATTCACTGTTCGGAAGGACCATACTACCTACTGGCCGAACTCCAAGAAACTTAAGGTTAAAGATTATATTTGTGGAAAAGCTGACTATAAGAAAGAGCCTAACAGCACAGTTAAGTTCAGAAAAGCAGACACGAGGACTGGCTATAAGGCCATGGTACGATTTCATGTTGATTTTGAAGGCAATTGGACAGTGGCAAAATTCATTGAAAATCATAATCATCATTTGGCTAAAAGTGGTGATAAGCATCTTCTTCGTTCTAGCAGAAGGATAAGTGAGCTCAATGCAGATGTGTTGAGATCCATGACAGGTTCAGATATCAGAGACGGAGGTTGGTGGTGTGGAGAATTTAGAATGCACCAAGAGAAATGCATTTAATTTCATCCAAAGAGAAAGAAGACAAAGAATTGAACAGGGAGCTCTCTCACGGATTATTTTATCGGTCTTGAAAACATAATGAAATCGTGGCGCCGGAATGAGAAAAATGAAGATTTCAAATGTGGTCAGTCCGTCAGAACGCCCATGGTTAAAATCAATCTCATGCTGAGGCAAGCTGTCTCATTCTATACAAGGAAGCCTTACTCAGTGTTTGAACAAGAGCTCTTGAATGGCTTATGCGGGTTCACATCTGAAGTATCATTACTTGTGAAATTATATGTAGTTGCAAAAAATTTGAGATGATGGGGTTGTTGTGCTCTCATGCACTATTTGTTCTAAGTCTCGCAAAAATAAAGGTGATTCCGGAGAAATATTTCTTATTGCGGTGGTCCATCAATGTTAAAAGGGACATGTGTAACAAATTTGGGTGCAGAGAGCTAAAAGACTCCGTCTATAATAATGTTTCTTCAAGTTCCCTTATATTCAGTTCATACTCTCAGAAATTTACATATCAGCTCATTAATAGAGCACAAGGAAATGAGTTAGCTGATGAGTGTTTGTGGGAGACGTTTAAAAAGTTATCTGGAGATATTGAGGATGCTCTAGTAGGGAGAACGATCGAAGTACAGAAAACAAAAAAGAAGAAGAAAATCACAAATATAGAATGCAATGTGAACGACCGTGCTAAAAAAAGGCCGAAAGGAGTATCTACATCTAGGCTAAAAGAACATTGGGAGAAAAATAAGAAAGCCAAAAGTATAATTTTTTTAATTTATTATTTCCTCATTTCATTTCATGTATAATGCATACTTCTAATTTGACCCATTGCATCCAGGAATGGAACAGGAAGCAGCAAGTAGCCGTCGAGCTGTGGACACATTCGAGCAAAGTTTGACAGATTGTCTTACCCAGGTATGTTGATAAAATTTAGTATCATTTCACTGCCTTTTATATAAAATAATTCACTCAAATTGAACTTGGTATTACTCCTCTGCTGCAGGAATACTATGCACCGCAACTAAGTGAAACGTACACTGGACTTTTGATGGATTCCATAAGTGAGAATATAGATTAATTAATATTGTAAAAGTTGGTATACTATATCATCTATAAACTTTTTACGAAAGAAGTAATTGGTGGTTTATAACTTATTTTTGTTAAAATATTTCTGTCTTAATTTTGTTCAAAGGTAGATATCAACAGTATAACACGTAGATAACACATTACTAACACGCGAGTAACACGTTGAATAACACGATCAGTAACAAGCTGAATAACAAGCTGTTGCAAGCTTTATAACACGTGAGTAACACGTAGATAA